TCCTGCTGACTCATCGTGGTATTGAGGCAAATCCCGAGAAGTGCTCCGCGATCATCAATATGAGAAGCCCGACGACGGTAAAAGAGGTCCAGCAGTTGACAGGAAGGATGGCTTCCCTCTCTCGGTTCCTCTCCAAGGTGGCGGATAAATCGCTGCCTTTGTTTCAGTGCTTGAGGAAGAACGACCGCTTTGTGTGGACAGATGAATGTGAGAAAGCGTTCGGCGAACTCAAACAGTCTCTCACCTCGCCACCAATACTCTCCAAATCGCAAGCCAATCTCCCTTTACTGATTGATTTGTGGGCATCCGATAGCGCCATCAGTGCAGTCTTAGTACAAGAAAGAGGTAGTTCTCAACTGCCTATTTATTTTATTAGCAGGTTGTTGCAAGGCGCGGAGGTTCGTTACCAAAAGATTGAGAAGTTAGCCTTGGCGATACTGGTTACAACACGCAAGCTGAGACATTACTTTTAGAGTTACGAGGTGGTAGTCCGAACCGATCACCCGATCAGGCAAATACTGCAGAAGCCCGACCTGGCAGGAAGGATGATGAAGTGGTCGGTGGAGTTATCGAAGCATTCCATCAAGTACGAACCGAGAGGAGCAATCAAAGCTCAAGCGCTGGCTGACTTCGTAATGGAACTAACCTCACCAGTGGGGGAAGTTCGAACTGAAGACACACAGTGGATCCTGTCGGTAGATGGAGCCTCGAACCTTGGAGGAAGTGGAGCGGGGATTGTCTTGGAAGGACCGGGAGGAATTTTGTTGGAACAGTCATTGCGATTTGAGTTCCGGGCAAGCAATAACCAGGCCGAGTATGAAGCATTGTTGGCCGGAATGACATTGGCGAAGGAAATGGGGGCGACAAGCTTATCAGCACGAAGTGACTCCCAATTAATCACGGGACAGGTAGCCGGCACCTTCCAAGCAAAGGACCCTCAACTGGCCAAATACCTGGAGAAGGTTAAGCACCTTTCGGAAAATTTCCGAGAATTCACACTTAACCATGTACCACGAGAGCAAAACTCCAGGGCCGACCTGCTCTCCAAGCTTGCAAGCACAAAGAAACCAGGAGCTACTCGGTCAGTCATCCAAGAAACATTGTCACAATCGAGTATAAACGAGGCGCAAGGAAATGTCCTATTCATCCAGGAAGAGCTAAATTCCTGGATGGCACCATATATCGCATATCTGACTCGGGGAGAATTACCGGAAGACAAAAAGGAGGCATCGTTAGTGCAAAGGGAGTTGGCCAGGTTCGTTGTCATCAACGAAAGGCTGTACCGAAGGGGCTTTAGCTCTCCTCTCCTGAGGTGTTTGACCATGTCGCAAGCGCAGAGAGTGATGGACGAGGTACATAGTGGAATGTGCGGTAGTCATATCGGTGGCCGAGCTCTGGTGTACAAGGTTGCCCGCGCAGGTTACTTTTGGCCATCTTTGAGGAACGACTGCGTCAATTGGGTCCAAAAATGTGATGGATGCCAACGATACGCTACCCTGCACCATTCCCCGGCTGAGTGACTACATTCGATCTTGTCTCCTTGGCCTTTCCACAAATGGGGGATTGATATTCTCGGTCCATTTCCGATCGCTGTGAGGCAACTGAAATTTTTGATAGTAGCAGTAGACTACTTTAGCAAATGGATCGAGGCGGAACCGGTTGCAACCATCTCAGCAGAAAAGGTCAGAGCATTTCTTTGGAAGAATGTGGTATGCAGATATGGAGTCCCTCAGATGCTCGTATCCGACAACGGGGCACAGTTTGCAAGCGCGAGAGTCCGAGACTTTTGCAAAAAAGTCGGCATCCGAATGGCATTCACGTTCGTTGAACATCCACAGGCTAACGGCCAGGCCGAGTCGGCAAACAAGGTAATTCTCTCGGGTTTGAGGAAGCGTGTACAAGAATCAGGTGCTTCATGGGTGGAAGAGCTTCCCCGAGTGCTGTGGTCGTACCACACGACTGTTCATTCAACGACCCAAGATACCCCTTTCAATCTGGTATACGGAACCGATGCCATGATCCCGATTGAAATTGCAGAGCCTTCAGTACGCACTACAGCTTTTTCTGAAGAAGAATCCGACCAGGGAAGACGAATTGATTTAGACTTGATCGCAGAAACAAGAGAAAGAGCAAGAATAAATCAAGCAGCAACTCAGAGAAGGGCTGCCTTCAAGTACAACACAAAGGTAAACCCAAGAGATTTTGTCGTAGGCGACCTAGTTCTGAAACGTGCCCAAATAACTCAGATAAGGAACAAGCTGTCACCCAAATGGGTCGGCCCCTACAAAATTGACGATGTAGTCGGAAAAGGAGCTTACCGATTGAGGACCTTGGATGGAGGGATAATACCGAGGACGTGGAATGCTGCAAATTTGCGTTTTTACTATAGCTAGTCCCATAAACATTTGTACTAGGTGCACTCTTTTCCTAACTCAGTATTTTGTCCCCGTAAAAATGAGAGGGGTTTTTGCTGAGAAGGTTTTTAACGAGGCACCACCTATTCAATTCTTAATGAATGTCATTTCAATTATTTTGTTCTCATGACTTATAACATGTGTCATTTTCGAGGCATCGAAGAACTCGTGATTGATCAGTTGGATTCCGACTGGGCGAGTATAGAACTCGTGATGGATCGGATGAATTCCGGCGGGGCGAGTATAAACAATTCAAAGAACTCGTGATTGATCGGTTGGATTCCGACGGGGCGAGTATAGAACTCGTGATTGATCGGATGAATTCCGGCGGGGCGAGTATAAATAACTCGAAGAACTCGTGATTGATCGGTTGGATTCCGACGGGGCGAGTATAGAACTCGTGATTGATCGGATGAATTCCGGCGGGGCGAGTATAAATAACTCGAAGAACTCGTGATTGATCGGTTGGATTCCGACTGGGCGAGTATAAAACTCGTGATTGATCGGATGAATTCCGGCGGGGCGAGTATAAACAACTCGATTGATGAAACTCGTGATTGTTGGCAAAAGTCTGACTAGGCGAGTATAAATAACTCGAATTCGACAAACCTGGGTCAAATCCGACAAACCTAAGTCGCAAATCTCGGATTGGAATCCGGCCGACTAACTT